GCCAGAGGACACCAACTATCAGAGGAGAAACAGGTATCGCCTCTGACCGACAGTACTGAATCATATCGCAAAGTAATGTTGTTGTTGTTCCTTGTTGAGGTCCCTTGAAAGGCTTGCGGATGCAGCTCGCTCAATGTCCCAAACCCACATGTCGTGCCAGCCCGAGTTATCATTGCGGTGGTTTCTGGGTGCCAGAAGTTTTACATGGAAGCCGGGTGCCCCCAGCGTTGCGCTATCGCGCTGGAACTTCTTGTTTTTGGAGATGCTATTCTCCGATGTTGCGTTCTGCGCGGCAGGAGCGGATCGCGGCACACTTCTCGCGCGAGGGGCGAGGCTCAGAGGTCACCACTGCTCTGGGCGGAGCGCCGCGGCGAGAGACAGTTCTGGGAGCGAGACGCCCGAGGTCCGCCGAAGCCAGCTCTCAATTGGTGGGAGCGAGGGCCGCAGATTCGCTCGAGTTGCGCAGATTTGTTTCCCCCGTGTTCTTTTCGATCCGTTTTTACTACAGCGTTCCCTCCCTGTCTCTCATCTTCCTCGTGCCCCCGCAGTTCCCCGCATCCTTGTCGATTCATCCTCCACGACCTTTGTTCCCCCCCCGGCCGCGAGGCCCCGTTTGCTCGCCTTTTTGTTGCATGGGCGCGTGCCTCCCACCCTCCTCCCTGCAGTCCTCAGCCCCCGTTCGCTTCTGGAGTTGCCTGGTAAGCGCCGGCAAGACTTTCGCGGCGACGATCGCCTTCCTCGGCCGAGGTGTTTTGTAAAGACAACATCATACCTCCTCGGCGTCGGCGCGCGCGGCTGATGCGTCCGGCCGCCTGGGCCACCCTGGCGCTCTCACCGCGTCGCTGCCAATTTCCCCGAGCCGCGGTTGCAAGCATGGGCTCGTCTATCCCACGTCGGGCCGCGCATTGCCCCGAATTTGTTCGGTGCGTTCTGTTGTCTTGTTCCATCGTTGCGCTGGTGTTTCGACAAAAAAATATGAGTGGGCGTGTACGCGTGCGGAGGACGAAAAGAGGGCGCGCGCAAAACTGGACGGGATGAGGGAGGGGTGGAAGGGCGGGGCACGTGGGGCGGCGGCGCGGGGAGAAGAGGGCGGGATGAGGCGTTTCCTGTATGCCCGATGCGAAAAAACATTTGGCGCCATCGATTTTTTGAGGCGTTTCACTAAGTCGTGGGGCCTCCGATCGGCTCAGGATGAAGATTTGGTCCTGGGATATGCGGAGGAGTTTTATGGTTCCATGACTTTCCCTCAGGGCCCGTCTCTTTCATGCCTCGACAACGGTGGCCTTGCGGGGCGGCATGCGCTGACAGTTGTAGGGGTGCCCGCATAGGAGGTCCACGTCGAGGTGCGAATTTCGACGATCGAAATTTGGGCGCCACTCACCTCCTTCCTCCTTTTTTCCTCTCCCGGAGTCACACTCAGAGGCAACGTTGCGTTATGGCATGTTGTATTACGATACGGGTTGCTAGGCATTGGCATGTTATGGTATGATAGGCGTTGCAACGTTATGCTACGTTGTGAAATGCTATGTTATGGCATGTCTTGCTATATTATGATAGTGGCGGTGGTGGCGACGATGACGACGACGACGATGGCGGAACAAGTTTTGGTGATGTCTCGAACGAGGCGCGGATTTCAGCACCCGTGAGGGAGAACCGCCAAGGGGCATTGTTTCCTCCGCTCGCGCCAAAAATGGCGTGGATGTCCCGAGCGCGGTCATCGTTTTGATTCCCCACATTCCCCGCTTTCGGGGCTCTGATTCTGACGGTGTCCCGAGCGGATTGCGGGTTTCAACATTCTTCAGGGGGGGGCGCCAGGGGGTATTGCATTCTTCCGTTCGCGCCAAAATGGCGGGGATGTCTCGTGCGGGGCGCTCGTTTGGGTTCCCAACACGCACCATTTCCGGAGCAAGTTTGAAGATGTGTCTGGCGAGGCGTTGGTTTTCGCACCCTTGGTGGCCCAGACTGCAAGGATGGTTCGAACATTTTTTATGTTGCTGGCCAGACCCGCGGGCAAAGCTCTTCTTCACGATGCCACAGGAAGCCCCAACACGTTCCACGAAACCCCAGGAGGCATCAGGAGGTCGGAGGAGGCCAAAGGACGCCCCTGGACGCCCCAGGAAACACCAGGAGGCGACAGGATGCCACAGGAGACCAGAGAAAACGCAAAGAAGCAGCAGGAGGCCCTGGAAGGCTTCAGGGCACTCGCGAGGTTCCACGAGCAAAAAACCCCAGACGGCCACAGGAATGGCCCCAATCCCCGGTTGTTTTACAAATCTTCCCACCGATCAGATCACCCGCTCTGGTGATAAGGAGGTCGGGAAGGGGGGGAGGCGATGAGGCTGTCGATTTGCAATGAATCCCGCCCGCCGCCCAGAAAAAATGCGTGGGAAAAGAAAAACAACCGTCCGGACGATTTACCGATGTTTTGATCGATATGTATGTATACATGCTTACCCAACGATATATATATATATATATATATATACATATATATATATATATACACATACATACATACATACATACATACATACATACATACATACATACATACATACCTGCATACATACATACATACATACTTGTATTCATACATACGTATATGTATATATACATATATATATATATATATATATATATATATATATATATGTGTGTGTGTGTGTACATGCGCGCATACATAAATACGTGTATACATTCAGTAATGTATGTGTGCGCGTATGAAAATGTATATACGTACATACATATGGATACATCACTCCGCGTATGTATATATCTACCTGGTGGTGGTGGCGATGGTGGTGGTGGTGATGATGGGATGGTGCGACGGCGATGACAATGTGACATGTTGGTTCTTCGTATACGTTGGTGCACCACGTCGCGATGCCAGCGTCACTGGCTTGCGTGCCCACTTCTATGCCGAACGCCCGTGCCCACTTCGGTGGCGCAGGTTTTAACGGCCGCGCACATTTGAGAATCAACGCACTCTTATTGCAATGCCGCGCGTGTTCGGAGCACGAGCAGAGCTTGGTGCCATTCAATCGCGCGGCGACAAGTATACATTGTGGACATCGTTGTTGCCGGGGTAAAAGAACACATCGCCCGCGCCGCCCGGAAGCGAAACAGCGCCATGTGTGGATGGTGCCCATGGCGAGATTGCAGAAGCCGGCGCATACGGAACGCAGCAAATACGGACTCGAATTTCAAGTGCGACGGCCATGACAGCAAGCTCGTCAGCGTATTCCAAAAAAGACAGCCCTCACACCCATTTCCTGCACACGTTGCTGGCGCGCGCGGGGCCGCGCACATCGAGGGAAGCAAACGCAGGGTAAAGTTTGGCCATGAGATCTGACCGCGTCATGGTTGCCGCAGAAATGCGTCCGCAGCGCCTCGGCGCACGCGCCGAAGTCGGTGCGCCGGTGGCCCTGGTCATTCGCGAGCGCCGGCACGCCCCTGGCGCGTACCTACGCCAAGGACATTCACGGGGTGATCACCTGGTGAGGCCTGGGCCAAAACCCCAACGCTGCCCCCCGCCAAACCAGCCGCCAAGCAAAGCCAGAAGCACGCGGCAGAGGTTCGACCTGCGCACTGGCCAAAATCGCAAATTTCACGCTGAGCTGGCAGTGCTCCTGAGAGCTCTGCGTGCACTGCTCGCGCGCGGACAAGTTTGCCAATTTCTGACAGTCGACGGACTTGAGTGTCTGACGCAGGCGTCGTCGAATGCGGGCCTTGTTGCCCTGCTTGGCGCGCTCGTCATCGACGCCGTTCAGCGGGGGCAGGAGCGCCTTGCCGAACGAGAACGACGCGCTCTCCAGCGCGCGGGCGACGTCATCAGCTTGGAAGCCCAGTTCATGCATGGTCAGCGCTGCAGAGTCTTCGCTCCGAGCGCCTTCGCGCTGCGCCGCGCCAGCCTCGCCAGGCTGACTTGGAACCTGCGCCGAAGAGCATTTGGAGCCGCGAGTCGCCGTGGGCGCCGATGACTGGCAGAGCCTTGCCACCGACTCGTCGCCTGCCTCACGACGCCATTGCGACCGGATTTCGCCGAGTAGTACTTCGCAACGCCGTCAGACATTGCGCCGCGCCGTCGATGGCGAGCATTGCCCGCAAGTCGGAGATCTCGCTGTCAGACGGCCCCCATCTATTTCAGCGCGCGGGTCGCCTGCTCGAGGCGGTCATCGCGCGCGCGCACGATCGCCTCCGGCGCCGCGCCTCCGCCGCGCCAGATGCGCCATGAACAAAGCGTCCGCTTTGGCCCCAAAGGCCGACCTGGCCTCGAAGTTCCGGGCGAGGCGCGCAGCCGCGAAGTCCTCGACGGGCGGGAGTTCGCGGAAAGCCGCGCGCCCCCAGCGCATCGCGCGCGTCCAAGCCGCGAACGCAAGCCCTTGCTTACTGGCGCAAGACGACCAGGCGCCGGCGAAGGAGACGACGCACCCCTCCTTCGCGGCGACGCCCGGGGATTTGCGCGTTCGGAGAGCCCGAACTAGTCGGAGCGGGACCCCTGCGCGAACGGCGCCAGACTTGGCGCTCTCGCACGCGACCTTCGCACAAGGGGCCGGCGCCCACGTCGTGGGCAAGTTTGCAAAACACGGCGGGCCAGCGTCGTCCGGGCAGCGGGCCGCGACGAAGTCAGGCAGGGGACAGGCCAGACCTCGCGGATAGATGCCCGGCCGCGAATGAGGCAGGCCAGATCTTGCCAGCGCGCCGCCGCCCAGTCGCTGCTCGCCCAGCGCCGCGCGCAAGATCGCAACCGCGACCCCCCGAGATCCACTCATCAGACCCAGAGGCGCGGCCCCGACGCCCCGCGGCCGATCTCGCGACAGCATCGCACGCGCCCCAAATCATGGACGCGCGGCTTCGCGCACGCAGCGCGCCTCTTGTTTCGCGAGATTCGCCGCGCACGCGGCCACGGCGCGCCTCGCGCCGAAAAACAGCGCGGCCCGATCTGACAGGGCCTGGCTCGCCATGGAGCAGCGCCCATGCTGCGAGCTGGCCCCCGTTGA